ATATACAAGCGCCTCAACGTTTGTAATATACCAACGAAAGACGATTTTTACATAATTCAATCGAAGACAAACTGAGCTTTGCTTCTCCATTCTCAACTTGTCTAGATTGACTGCGCGATCTGATGTGAGCGAGAAAGAAATCTTTTCTAATGATGGTAAAATCAAGCTTCATTTCGTTTGTAATACCATCAAATAAACATTTCTGTATCGTTAAGATAAAGTTCGACCAAATGTTCCTTCTGTAATGAAGAGTGTTTTGTAGGTCCAGCAACTGGGTAATAAAGTCAGTTTCAAATGAGGAGATAGTTTTCACCTAACTCACTAGTGCTATAATGTTGACTGCGTTGCTATATAAGAGCATTTTCTTCACATTTAATTGCCTCTACTATACAGAGGGACTAGACATAAAAAAGGATGAAAGAAAAATCGTTTCACGGGTTATCTCGTGTTTGCATATTTTGTTCTTTTTGGTGACAACAGTTTGAGCGGACACCTGTATTTGTTCCGATATTTCTCGATTTCCCGTAGTGTCCAGTATATGATTAATGCGGTACTTAATGTATGCAACAGTTCAACATGCCATCGGGACTGTTTTCGTCCCTTGCCCCCTAATCTACACAGTACGCGGTGGTTTTCCGCAACGAATTTCCATCCAACCAATTTTCTCATCTAATCTCTACAAATCACGAATATTTATACACACGCATACTTAAATAGCAGAACAGTAATTATTTACCGACAATATGGAACACTGCATCGTCACAGCGTGCTCGAAATCACGCGAAACTTACTACAACAGGCCTTATCATGAGCTTTCACTCCACTGGTTATTCTCTCTTTAATTTTTCTACTCTGATGTGTCTCTAAATCGTCTTTTATCGTAATGTGACAACACGTAGTGGTCTCAAAGCAGACGTTGATAGACGGTTAATACAATAAACACTTTCCGCACGGGGCAAAAAAACGTGCTGATTTTATCCTATATATATATATATATATATCAGTCCAAGGGCAGAAAATTATCGGTTACTCAGCTGGCTCGGCATCAACCCTCTTCACTATATACCACACAACTACTTTTTACTAGAGTCGGCTACTTCTATTAATCTAATCTGCTGTACAATCTTTCAGCGGTGACGCACCATTATCCTATTTTTCTCGTTTAACGTTATGTCTTAATGGTTATCCGCTTCCCATTTTATCGGAGTAATTATCTTCCACTACCTAGCGCGTACCATTATCTCTTTGCGTTTCTTTTCTATCTCTTGCATTTTCTTCACTACATCTTGAATTTTTGCTGTGTAGCAGTTATCATCAATATGAAACCGTTTGCATACCGATGCCTTCATCTCGTACTTTTTCATTTTACAGCTAGTTTACACCCTTTTACTTGAGAGTTCCTATTTTCTTCACGGTGAATCTACTGTTTCGTGCTTTTCACCTACAACCATTGTAGCCGCTGGTATCGGACTATAATTTTAACTCATTTCTGCGATTACTATCCATTTTTCTCTCTCAGTCTTTCATTGCGTCAAACTGCATTAGGAAACGATCGTATCATATGTGTCCCTGAAATGTTTGCTATCAACAGCGGTCTTGCTAGCGACAATATCTATTTTCATTGCAGGTTTATTCTCAGGCTAGAAAACACCCTTCTAATGAATAGGTGCCTTTGGTGGACCGTAAGAAATCGGTACCTCCGTCCGAATGAAAAACGTTTTGAGGAGTTTCATTAAGCCTTCGTTCTGGTTCTCGCTTTTATTTTGATATCGCCACATATTACGCCAACTCTCGTGCTTTGCTGAATCGATAGAAATCTGATCTTAGTCATGTTCTGTAAATGCTTGAAATGGACCTCTGCCTAAAACAATGGAATATGTTACCCGCATGCATAAGAGCGGCGCTGGCTTGCCTGAATCGCCAAAATTGCCAAAGGCATTCTGGAAGAATACGATAGTTTTTGCGCTTTGACCACAGGAAGTAACATTTACTGCAGCTATGCGCCGACCTTCTCTATTGAGCGCAACAGTTCCCTGCTTACAATAATCGAACTGATTGTAGAAATCGATGCATAGAGAGCGTACGATATCTTTTTCAAGTGGTTTGTAGCTCCCGTGAAGTTGGTTTTGGTAGCTAGGTGAAAACGATGTCAAGCAGCATTTATATGGCAGCCTACCAATAATGGAATCTTTAACTAATGTTATTCTAACCATATATAGACTTTTTCGAATGCCTGAGTTACTTGACGCAGTATAGAGTTCCGTGATCTATTCTCAATTGAAGGAGGATCTCTTTAAGTTAAGTGATTTTTTAAATTTAAGCATTATAAGAAAGCAGAAAAATTTTATCTGCAATTACACGTGCACGCACTAATAAACGTTCATTCACACACACGAAACACATCGACATCAGTCAGATTCATTATCAATACACGGAAATTCGCCAAGCCACCTACAGCCACACGCGGCTGACACGCCACCCAGGTGACTGTTACCACTTTTCACCCTCTTCACAAGAACTACCACTTTACCAGGTTGGAGCTCAAAGGCTACGCATACCTCTGAGCGCTCGTTAGTTTGATGCATTTCTCTTGCACGTAAGCTCTCTTTGTTTCAGTCTTCGTTTATCTGTCGTTTTAGACACTCTTATATGATACTCTTCGCTATTTAATGTAATTATGATAACTCGTGTTGTTCGAACAAAATCCAGAAATTTCATCCTATCAGTCTATATCGCAGCGTCCATCTTACGCCTGTCCTTCTTGAGAATGGAGCTACTGCTGTTAATGAGAATCTTGCATGTGTCCTTGTTATCCGCAGCGACTACTGCTGGTTTCGTTTTTAGCACTATCGTTATTACCAGCTTTACTATTGTCGTCGTTGGCCCATTCCGGTGATCACCTCTTGCCCTTGTTATTGTTCTGTTGCTGTTGTTGTTGTTGTGAAGCGGCTGCAGCTGCATAGTTATAGCTAGGCAGGGGCAAACGTCCGTTGGCGGCCATTGCCGCTGCGGCGCTCTCACTAATACCTCCCGCATACCCTGCAGCTCCATGGTGCTGCGACAGAGGTGGTGTTGAATGCTGTTGCTGCTGCTGCTGCTGCTGATGTTGCTGGATCGCGGCTGCAGTAGCACCGTGTACAGATACGCTACTGGGATACCCAGTCAACCCAACACTGCTAGCGGTTCCACCTAATGAACGCTCTTTTTCGGCCGCTGACGCACTGCCATTTTCGGCGGTTTGTGAAGGTGTTACCCGACTATCCATAGCCGCGACTGCTCCACCCGCAACAACCGCCAAAGGCACTCCTGATACGACGGGCATGGGTTGGATCGACGCGCTGAGTGCACCATTGACGCCAGGCACTGCGACGCAAGCTACGGACATTCCACCGACTGACACGCTCGGTGAGGCCGATACCCCACCGCTACCACCGACGAGTGACGACGATGCCGTGGTTTGCGTAGCTGACGAGTTATTCAACATAGCTAGCGGCACTCCCAGGCGTGCGTTCACTGCTAGCAGATGATCTTTGCGTGCTGTCAACGCGAGTATCTTATCCTCTAGCTGGTGGTTTTCACTTTTTAGTTGATGTAAACACGAGAGAAGGGCGGCAATATCGAAATGTTGCGCCTGTTTCATCAGGAACGAGCTTCCCTGATCCCATTGCCTCTCCAACAGCTGCTCCAACGTCGTGGGGAAGTTTGTCGGAGGCGGAGCCTGAGGTAGCTGCGGTCGCTGCGGTCGTTGTGGCCCTATTAATGGTGTACTAGGAACTGAGCTCTCTGCTGATCCTGCGGCAGCAACAGAACTATTTCCGCTACCCCCTGATCCAGAACCGGAACAGCTACCCGCTAGCGTCGTGCCAGCCCCACTACCCATAAGCGATGAAGGTTTGCACTCAGCTGCTGCACTACCATTCATCGTAGCTCCGACCCCAGCTGAACTTCGATGGTCGCTTGAGTGTAGCTGCCCGATTGGTGATGTTGCGGTACTTGCCGATTTGCTGCTTTTACTACTGCTGCTAGCATTATTCGTTAGACTGCTACTACTTCCGCTGCCACAAGTATTATTACTATTATTGTTATTGTGGCTATTGCCCCCTGAGCCGACATTTAATGAGGTAGCAATGTTGTTGCTGCTGCTGCTAGTAAGGGCGTTGTGAGGTTTGCTATTGGCGGGGCTGCTTGCCTGGTTGATGTTCGCCTGGTTGTTATTATTATTATTATTATTACTACTACTACTACTACTACTACTCGTAGCATTGTTGATACTGCTACTACTGCTGTGATTGTGGTTCGACTGGTTACTGGCGCCGCTGCCAGTGCTCGGTGTCTTCGGCCGCTTAGAAGGCGGAACCTGTTGATTCGTTCGGTCCTTATCGATTCCACTAGCACTATCCTTGTCGGCTTTATTGCTGTCCTTGTTGGCTTCTTTCGATGTCCGCTTCGAGCCACCTCCACTTTGTGACTTTTTCTGGGCGGTATTCTTCGTCAGTGAGTCGTACATTGACATGAAGTTCGCGGGAGGATTCTTTTCCGACGAACGTTTTGACTTGGCCGTTGCTTGTAAAGTTCAAGTCCAGTTCATCACGCGAAGTATGATGGCGACAATGCGTCCAGCAAACAAATTTTGAGACAGCGAAAGGGAACAAAAATAGACGTAGGTTAGTCAGTGGTAATCACTCTTTACAGATTTAAGGTAAAGGTCAGAAAGCCTAGAGAAGTTACTATACTAATAATAAATGTATAATAGTTAAAATAAAACAGAGAGAACAATGAGAGATGTAATAGGAGGTTGCTAAATATGAGGTATATTACGAATTGTATCTAAGTAAATGCTAAAACATAGATTAATAAACCATCAGGTATCCATCAGGTAATTTATTACGACAGTAACGAAAAATTCAAGGAATAGATTTTTTAAAAAATCATGGAAAAGGACAACTGTACTCTTAATTATAGGCATAAGCTAACCAGCCAATCAATACAAATTCTTTACACCAGATTACAACAAACAAAACAACGACCCAACACAGTAATTGCGATGAACTCTAAATTTACATAATAATGAATGCCGAAATAGTATTATAGGAAGCCCTTTAGAATACGTTAGGAAGTACCGTAAAAGAGAACTATATGCCTTTTCATAACGCTTGTCGGAACTATTTAATTAGAAGAAAGCTTTGGTACTGCCATGTATAGAATAATTTGGACAAGTGTAGCTTCAATGACCGTTGGACAGCTAGATGTATAAACAACGTGAAGTGCCACTGCCTCGGGTTCAAGTAGAAATGTTGGCTCCTTTTATGACAGTTCCAAGAGGGCTTATCGTATCAGCAGATCAGAGCAGTGAAATTCAATGTGGAAGCCTCCACTTGTTCACTTATGTCACAAGAGTAACGCCGTTTTTTGTAAACTCTCTGTCGTGTACTCTATACTTGATGCGATATTACGGTGCGATATAAAGCTAATGATATATTGCATACAGTGCACAGCGTTGCCATTGCCATTATTTCATCGTTACATCCACTAAATAAACTAAGTGCTTTTAATTTTACCTTTATATACGATTATAAGCTACTTGCTTCAAAAAATGTCACGTTATCCATTTGATTTTGATTGTGCACACCTGTACGGTAAAGGCAGAGGATTTGCAAACTTCCTCTATATGTACTAACTACTTCGTGTGTACAGTTTTGCGATCTTGTTTTAGTAGTGGCACGAAACAGAACTAAACCAATGTATTAGCCAATTAAGAACAATCCACTGCCTATAGATTCATTTCCTTGAGTCATGTATAACTTGATTTCTATAAGTCTACACGCGTATTCTATCGCTTCAGCTGCAGCATGTTGTCAGAGGAGCAACTGCAGTTGAACAACTGTTGTGATAGTTGCGGGGAGTAGTTGTCGGTTCGCAGGAATCTGGCCGTTCCGGCTACATAGGTATTTCTGTAGTCGAAGGGGGCTATTAGCAAAACATATGCATCTGTAACACCGCTAAGCTATAATACTGGATGGCTGCGCACGTTACACCGTTTTCAAGTCACTGTTAATAGGAGTAGCTAAAGATGCACAAACGTTTTGATAGAATAGTGAATACAGTAGTACACAGGTGTGTAGGTCTGCGTTTCATGTCGACAACTTCATTGAATTTCGTCAGTTGTCCACTGGAGTGAACTTTCCTTCAGTTAACTTTCCGCTGGTCAAAATACACTTACAAAACTTTCTTTGTTATATTGTTTCTACTAGAATATCTATGTCAAGGTGTAAGGGGGTCATTAAGAACTTGCAGCCTTCAAAAAAGTCGTTCTTGAACATCAGTGGGGGTAATAGTAAGAAGTACAAATATAGTACTCTGTTAAATACAGTTCAATTCAGCCTCGTTAAAATATGTTTGTTTTTTTTCCTTACATTTGAATTCATCTCTGCTTTTACTCTCGAACTTAACCTTCGATAGTTCGCATGAGTCATCATCGAATTCGGGATCATCGTAGACTGTGCTCGCCGACACTGTTGAAGCAGCTGCAGCAGCGGCAGCAACAGAGCCGCTACCTGACGGAACGACGGGATGCTGTTGCTGCTGGCGCTCCTTTGCCGCCCGCTTCGGAGGCGATTTGCCTTCGGCCTTCGTTGACGTCGTCGTATGTAACTGAGACGGAGGTGTTGGGGCACTGTCGTCACCCTCCGAATCAGAGGTGTATATCGGCGGCCGTTTGGCACGGCCTCCACCGGTGCCGCCCCCGGTCGCGCGACGCCCTCGACCTGTTGTAGTCGTCGTTGGTGGTGGGGCATCGCTGTCGTCCTCCGAGAGGATCGATGAAGACGATGGAGGTTTGAAAGCCGGAATCGTTTTTATGTTACTGTCTTTTTTCTGTTTGGCAAAAAACGATTATAAACAGCAAACAATATTTAGCGAAAAATTAGTTTTATATGACAGTGATGATCAAAACTAGCTTAAATAACATCTATTAATTTTATTGGTTAATACATTGAGTAGAAGATAAGCTATTATCTGTAAATATTGTACTGAATATTATCTCAAGCATTCATCCATGACGCCATATAAATATTATTTATGTTATTTGTATAAATACTATACTCCATGATCTCAAGTGCATAAGGCGCGTACACACACACACATATATATATATATATATATTTGACACAATGAAAAATAACTGCTGTTATGTTATACCGACCTTCATACGTAACACCTAGAAAACTGAATTTCGAAATTCCTAGGAGAATCGAATCAATAAATACACTAAGCAAAGTTATAAATAAGCGTCATGAATAGTTGAGAATAGAATCATAGAATAATTAAATAGTGGGGCTTATGTTTTTCCAAAAGAAACTGATTTTACTAGGTGTGGTTATATAGACATTATGATTACTAATTAATATACCCTCTGCTTCTTGCTGCTTGCCCTCATTTATCAATAATTTAATACAATCAAGTTTTTTTTTTATTATCTTTTTCTTGTTCTTACCGAAATTATTTAACATATTTCAGATCTACAATTGCTACTCTTTGAAAATGTATTCGATTTAGTGACAGTGTTAGTATTCTGTTCTATCGCAACCCTCCTTCATAGGCTCGCGTTAACATTCCCGGCGTCTTGTTGTTGTATAGAGAGATGTTTCATGACTTTCTAAAAAAGCTGTATGTTTCAACTGTAAGTTCACCTAACTCGACATCAAGTGCTTACCGCCTTCCAGATGCGATACTTTTTGAGATACAAAGCTGGATCTGCTAGAACGTTTTGAATAGCTCCGCGAGTTCTTCCAATATTTCTCGAAATTGCAGTTATTGTCAAGCCTTTTTCTCGATAAAGCTTAATTACTTTTTGCTCATGGGGAGTTAACATTGTACGCGAATTTTTAACAATCGTTTGTTTTGCAGCCCGTCTCAGCTTGCGCTCTGCTGCTTTATCCATTTCTCACTTTTTTTTTACTAAAGGTACCAGCCGATATTTTGCGCAGCATTAAAAATCATTAACAAACAGACCTGGGTCAGCATGATCAAGCGATAGCTGCCACTTTTATTTTTGTTTTGACTGAATTCACGCCAAAGACAGGAGTAACCAACTAAATGTTACGTGCTCTCGCTGCAATTGTAAATATAGAGCTAACGTCGCATGTTTATCTCGTACATGTGAATGTCTAACTGTCACCTAATGTGTTACTTTGAGGCGTTTACGGCTATTACGAATATTTATATTATTGTCAAATGAATTTGATAGTGGACAAACAATGATGAGACACCATTTACTTTACGGCCAACTTTGGGGACAATTAAGCGGAACGGTTCAAATTAGTCGCTGACCATATTCTTCGTTCTGAACACATCACAATAAATTATGCTTCGATTTATTCTCACCATACCAATATCACACCTAAAATAGTTTTTAACGGCGACATATGTATTATTGGGTGTGTACCTTGAAGGATATTAATAATAATAATGTGATGAATCGGATCTGACTTTATACGTTCGTGTAATTTAATCTTCAACGTTACTTTTCCTTCTGTTGCCTCCGGCTTTCAGCAGTAATTCATTTTATTATAATTAGTGCGTAATTCGTACGCACATGCAGTATAGACACAATCCCTTAAAAGTAGATAGTAGTGGGAGTACTGAAAACTTACCAACTTCTGATAATGATGTTGACAGTAACCGCAGTATTTCACATTGTCCATATAATTTCCTGCTTCTTCGCACAGAAGGCCTGCAGCCTGTGCGCATGTTACGTGGAAGTACTGTTTACACCCTGACTTATTGCACTGCATACACGCTCCCAGCTGTAAAGGCAACATCATCAATCAGAATGTAGCAAACGTCACCAATAAAGAAAAACAACGTAAGAGACGCGAATTCATGTAAGAACCCAGTCTATTTAGCGAACAATAAATATTATCCAAATCGAATCAATTCCTATGCAACTGTGTGTGCATCACAGCAAATAAGATCGCTTCAAGTTATTACACTTCAAATAAACCTCGCGGAACCAAATAATAACAAAATGTCCAAGCTCGTAATGTCAGTTTTTTACATAACGGCGCTTAGATAACTTACGTTTGCATGGCCTGAATCGGTGCATAGTGAGCAGGTCTTATGGTATCGATCTTGAGGGACCATTTCCAGCATAATGGGTTCCATCGTGGTGACATTGCCGAAACGGACCTCGGGGATGTAGAGGGCACAAACCACATGTGCCCAACCGCCTCCCGAAGAATCCGTTCGTTTGAGGGCGCCTTCCCGGGAGGGACACAGCTCGCAGCGCTACAACGCCACAAACAGCAAGCTAATTAGAATATGAACCCAAAACGGCTAGTTACTGGTAAAAGATAGGCGATATATCTATTCTGCTTGACACCGCTATACCTTCAAAATGAGATTAATTCACTTCGTACCGAAACACAAAGTACGGTAGAAGACGATTGGAAGTCACCAGACATTAGAAGAACATAGATTTGTTTCGACTTTTGCAATGGTAGAAGAGTTAGCTGACATAAAACTGATTGATACGATAGTGCGTATTTTCGTGGTAGTTGAAGAATATCGGTTGGCCGAATCTAGTTAAGCCACAATTGTCTTACGGGATAATACTTACAACACGAGCTGTCCGCTCCTGTGACTCGCATTTTCGGCAAAACCACGGGCCCGTTGGCACTTGCACGATACCGTAACACGCTGAAATAAACGACAAGCGGATCGTCAGTATGGGTATTTGATACAGACCTTGGCTTGTGATTTACCTTTACGTTCTACCGGGTCGAGCGTAGTTACGTCGATGATAAGACCATGGGAATGGTTTTACATAGATGAATAGTTGGACAAACAAACCCTTTTCTTATCGCACGTTTTGTCTTCGGTTGCACTTTCAATATATATGAGGTACCAGTGGAAGACTGATAATATGATTTGGGCCTATTTAAGCCTTTATTTGAACACCTACTCAGATTACTCTTCGCGTGATTATGTAGCACAATAGAACTTTAGTGGAAACCACAGACAACTATTCACCGTTGTTTACAAGCATATTTCACTGCAGTTATTTTTTAATATCTACAATTTACTCTTTTTTTTTTAAACCAAAATATAGTGGATATCTCACAGACATACGTATTTGCAGAAGACTAACTCATTGTGAACCTAGTAAACTTGTACCGCCATTCGAGGTATCGAACCTCCATTGAAGCGATTCAAATGTATATGCTTCAAGGTTTTTGTGTTCGTTTTGTCTTTTGGTTAATATGGTTAATTTTAGCGATTTAGTGACTCCGCACAAGACAAAGAAGAAAAAAGGAAACTATATTTCCGCCCGCGCTAAACCAACTACAGCAGAAGATTTCCGTGTTTATTTAAACAAACGTGAATTATCGACAATGTGTTTAAACAAAACATTTCACTAGCTTTACTGGCCAAAAGTATATTTACTATTTTGTATTTCTCATCAGTCAGGCATTTAGTTAATTGGACCTATAATTTAGCCTACTTTCGTCACGACGGCAAAAATTCTCTGCGCAAAACTATATCAGAAGACTGCTAGATATAAGATTTCCAATAATCATGGTTGAAATCGTCCTGGGTACAATCTGCAACGTACAACTGAAACTGCGAAGTGCAGCTACTGAAATTATTTAAACAAGGTCGAAATCGGGTACAATTGAACCGGCCAGTTAATAGTTTCAACATACACGTCTTAACTTATACCTTACCATATTATCATATTAGCTTATAATTACGCAATATCTTCTGGTATTCGAGTCCTCTATTTCTTTTTGATACGCCACCCCCACATGTCTCCAGTTCGTTTTAACTTTGTGCAGACACGCATTAGTGTTACCACGCGGCTTTCACCATCACTACTACGGCAACCATAGGCAACTAGTCCCTAACGTTTACCTGCATTTTCCCCATTCTACTCATTCTCTTAATTTTTGTCTGATCAGGCTGGCAGACGGCCGACACTCAGGCACACCTATACGATAGGTTCCTGATTTTCGGTGATGCAACTGCAATCCTCGTCACAGCAGTAATCGTAACAACAAGACCAGCAGAAGCAATGACGATAACGGTGGCAACATTGTCGCACCACCTCACGTGCCGACCGTCAAGCTAATACTTAACAGCTGCTGTCTTCGTTAGCTGGCGCGTAAGCCAAGAAACGGTCGGTCACGCAGCCCTCAGTCGTTGGTGTTAATGGCTGCCAATCGCACGCTAGTTCGCGCGCAATCATCGACACGACCAGCTACAATAACAACCGTCGTTAGGCGATAAAGACTAGACGAGCCGACGCAAAATTAACTACGAATTACAATGGCTTTCTCCTGCTAGTGGCAGTACTGCCGCTGCTGCCAGTCGCATGTGTTCTGTACATCTCAGAAGGCGCAGAAAATAACAGGACACAACAAAGGATGGCGGCATCTGGTATGCGGCGAAAAACAGCAGATCATACTGGCACTTGAACGAGGCGATAGTTGCAATTGCAATGCAAGCCAAGCAGTCCACATAATGGCTAATGCAAGAAGTGGCATTCTATACAACAATGACCACGACCGTCACCACTACTTTAGTACAGGGCTATTCACTGGTGGATGGCGGGTACGTAGCGTGGAGATGATAACCCTGGTAGTTCTACATCTGATTACTATGAATAGTTGTAGACTAAAGTAGACACAGAGTTAGATTCTATAATAGATTCCATAATTCTAAGAAAAAATACAACGCGTGAAAAGCGCACACAGACGTCAACAACCTGGCACAATTTCTCAATTTCTGTTGTAACAGTATCACCAATGCAGCTGCTTAGCTCGTCAATACAGTATCAACTATCATCGATAGTAATAACGAACAGCTGGTAGTAGAGTAACACTTGAAACATCCACTTTAGCTCTACAAAAGGTAACAGCCGACGAAAAACCCCAAAAAAAAAGAAAAATGAACCACAAGCAGCAACAGCAAGCGACAACTAAAGTGACACTGCTCGTAACGATACGTTAATTGTGCTAGAGCTGGTACTGTCGAACTATTAGGATCAAGTCTAGTAAAACTACCAGAATTTCAAGAACGGCAAAAAGGCGCCAAAACATCAGCTGCCTACCACCGCTCCGGCCGTTGGAACTGTATCGCCGCTACTATTAAAAATTATATGGGAACTAATCAATTTAGTTATAGTTACGAAAAGAAAAGAACAATGGAGTGCGAGCGGCAGTTCACAGTGGAGTAACAACAGCAGCAACATTAGACAGGTGATGTTGACGGTGGTAGTGGGCGCAATGTGCCTGTTCTGTGGGTGGTGCAATACCTTCGAACTCTTTATACTGCTGCTATGATTGCTGCCGGTCAGTATCAGTACCATGATCCCGCCACGATTTATATCAATTGTGGCTCCAATAGTCCTTCATATCAAAAATCGCTGCAGTAGTACTGAGGGTCAGAGAAGAGAGCTTGAAACAAGCAGTGCGTTTCACGAGTCTATAAGAACAGTACTGCCATGTGCAAATAATCGAGTGAAATAACGATGCAGCGGTTACATTGCGCTAATATATTATTGTAATAGGCTACAGTATAATTGGAAAACGCAAAATGCATGGATCATGATACACTGACATAGAACGCTGCTACACAAAGTAGCGAGACTGTTTGCTGTTGCCTTGGTTACGGATAAAATAGCAACAAGTGATAAGAAAAGAGCATCAGAGTATCTGCGGCTTAGGTTCGAATCCGTTGACAGTTAAAAATGCTTGATGGCAAGCCGCTTATAGACTAGCCAGTTGTACTATTTAAACACCAGGGGGAATAAATACGAAGTTGAACAATTTAAATACCAGGGGGAGTAAATACGAGGTGGAACAATTTAAACACCAGGGGGAGTAAATACGAGCTCGATCCTTTGTTCAGGCAAAATAAAATGTGTTTGTCATAAGTAATAAACAAGTAATTATTATTTAGAAGTGCTAAAAATGGATAGATAACGAAAAAGATTCTGCGCAGCCTAAGAAACGCAGTGTATTTCACACCATACCTTCGAAAATGCAGCTATTCGCAACGTGTGGTACGTTGTAACCAGCTGCATTAGTAACCATGGAGCAAATAAAGACAACGTTTGAAAACTGAGACAATCAAGATTCAACAGCCTGTTGGGAACAATAGAAATACAGCGTATTATCATTCTGTCGCGTGGTTTTGGTTCTGTTTCATTTGCGAGACCAAATTTATGAAGTAGCATAATAGCGTACTTATCAAACATGGCATATACTGAACTTCGGAGAAATGAAGCGCGGATGGATTTTTTTGTAAATATATTAATATCTTCCATAAAAAAAATGAATCAAGGTGTGAGTACATATGTATTCACACTTTTGTTTATTTTTCATATTCATATGTGAGTGAGACCATACACATATAGTTACCCAGTCGCACGGCAGTGTAAGGTTTTCCCGCCATTACAAATCAGAATGGAACACCTGTCTGCGTTCATCCAATATATAGGTTGAGTAATTTTGTCTACAACTTTTTCGTGTAAGAAGTTGCTTAGTAATGCTTACGATACTACGTGTTAAGCAAGTCAATGATTAAACTAACTTTTTTTTTTAGGAGTCTGTGTACAAAAAACTTACATACCGCCCCCGGGTGTTCTTTTACAGCAGCGAAATAAATTATGTATATATTTTCTTTGCCACTTTCGCCGAAAATGCTTAAGACATTGCACACGCCTTGCTTGTTAAGCTATGTTACTCTCCGTCTAATTTCCTTCTTAGATAATATGACTAATAGTTATAATAACAATGAATAAAAACTTATTTGTTTTCCATGCTCCTGCTGATTCTATAACCATCAAAGCTAATTATCTATGTATATGATTAGTTCTGAAAAGAATCCTGGGTACTATCACCACTGGTTCCGATTTGTTCTCCCCTGTAACATATTAGTTTTTTACGTTTATTCGCTCCTTAGTCCGTCCCTATATATCCACTGATATATGTATATGTGTATCTACATCTGAGTTAGTTCCTGAGAGCGGGTTGCTAACTTCGTACCTTGGTGTACAGCTACGTTGCATCCAGCACCATCACAATAGACGAGCGGGTTTTCGGCCCATCCCCGCTCGTCGGAGCACACACAACAGCCGCCCAACATCTCTTTCATCTTGCCCCAGAAGACACCTCAGCAACGGCGCTAACCAGCATCAGCAATGGACGATGGCATATACGAACGGCCTGGACAGGAACAGGCATACTCCTGTCAGAAATTGACGGCTGTTGTTTCTGTTGTCGTTGCTTCAGCTGCTGATAATGACGACGACGAAAGTGGTGGCGTTGGCAATGGCAAATTGTGCCCCCCGGAACGAGCAGCGTCTCCACCATTACCACCCCCGAAGCCCAGCGGGCAGCACGAACTTGTTGTTGCGCACCACTTCGCCACCAAACACAGCGCGGCCCAGCAGAAATAAGAACAAAATGCGAACAAAATTCACCGTCAACAGTCAGCTTACTCACTTTTGGAAAACACCGCACTTCCGAATCTGTCTGTCACAATCGGAACAACACAACAGAATTAACTTATCCGTGAATAT